GGTGAATCCAGATGCCCAGAAATGCCACAGCCCAAAACAGAGTCAGTCGATGAATTTGGAGCCCTGTGCAACCCAGCCCTCCCTGTCCCTGCCCTTCCTCCCCACCCCTCAAAACATGAGACCTCCATACCTCGTAATGGGTGAGAGCCACATCTCTGCCACCCTCCCACCACCATGCCCTTCTTCACCCGGGGCGCTGTCCCTGTCTTCTCCGTCGCTGTCCCTGTGTGTCCCTGCGTCTTCACCAAACTCAGTGGGGTGGGAGGGGCTTCTCTGTGCTCTGACAACTTTCCCTTTCCCCCCCCTTTCCCTCCTCTGGCTCCCATGAGCAGCCCCCTCCTCCTGACTGTTCCCCTCCTGTTGTCAGAGGGGGGCCCAGCTGGGGCAGGGCCTGGACCACCAGCTGTGGGGGGTCCCTAGGGCTCTTGGGTGGTTGGCAGAAGTGGAACCTGGGGCTGAGAGGGGAAGTAAAGTAAGATTGTCCTCCAACTTAGCCATCCTCAGGCCTGCTGGGGCTGCTTAACTGACTGGGCCTGCATGGGGACTGGACCCCTACAGCCTCCTTGAGAACAAGGAGTGAGGGATTCAGGGGGAAGTGGGTCACAGGGTGATGGAGAATCCTCTTGAGAGCAAACCTAGGCTCCCTCCTGCTAGGGCCCAAGGCTGAGTACCTCCCTTCTCTGAAACAGAGCAAAACCCTACTCCCGCCCCAAGTCTGTCCACTAAGGCAGCAGCTGAATTTGGCCTCCACCTCCACCTGCCAGAGTCATCATATGGTTAAAGTGGAGGTCAGGGAGCCGGCTGTGACGCGCCCCTGGTGGTCATCTGCATTCAACCTACTGGAACCCATGCAAGGGCCTGTGCTGGGACCTGGGGCTGCTGTAAGAAGTGGATTAACAGCTGGGTGCGATGGCTCAAGCCTGTAATCCCAGCACTTTGGGAGGCCGAGGCGGGCGGATCACCAGGTCAAGAGATCGAGACCATCCTGGCCAACACGGTGAAACCCCGTCTTTACTAAAAAAAAAAATACAAAAATTAGCTGGGTGTGGTGGCGTGCACCTGTAGTCCCAGCTACTTGGGAGGCTGAGGCAGGAGAATTGCTTGAACCCTGGAGGCGGAGGTTGCAGTGAGCCGAGATTGTGCCACTGTACTCTAGCCTGGCGCCTGGCAACAGAGCGAGACTCTGTCTCAAAAAAAAAGTGGATTAACAGTCTGCAACCTGCAAGCTCTCCCGAGCTGCCTGGTCCCCAGCTCCCTGGGAGGGTCCTCTCCCCCTCACCTCCCCCGACAGCACAGGGGCTGCTGTTTGCTTTTTTTTTTTTCCCCCCTGAGACAGGGGCTCACTCTGTTGCCTAGACTGGCATGCAGTGATGCGATCCCCGCCCACTGCAGCTTTGACATCCTGGGCTTAAGCAATCCGCCCCCCTCAGCCTCCCAACTAGCTGGGTTTACAGGTGCCATGCGACCAATCGAGCTAAATTTTTTGTCGGTTGGTTTTGGTGGGTTTTTTTTGTTGTTGCAGAAATGAGGTTTTGCCATGTTACCCAGGCTGGTCTCAAACTCCTGAGCTCAAGCCGTCCACCTACCTTGGCCTCCCAAAGTGCTGGGATTACACGCATGAGCCAGCAGCCACTGCACCCAGCTTGCTGTTAGCTTTTAATCCTCCGCTGGGCTGCTCTGAGTCAGGGCCCTGGACTATCCCTGTGGACACCAAGGCTCTCATCAGACCCTCTAAATGGGGCCTTTAGAACGAGCTCGTGAACCACCTTCTAGGCTGGGGGCTGGGGGCTGCTCTCCCTTCTCTGGATACCTCTTCACCCCTCTACCACCACAGTGGGAGCTTACAGGTGTGCAGTTTTGCAGGGGGTGGGGGGCAGGGCCTGCAGACTCTCCTGGTGCCCAGTCTCCCTTCTACCTGCTTCCTCCCTGCTTGTGGAGGCCTCATCCATGTGTCTGCCCCTGTCCCCAGCCACGCTCATGCCCATCTCTACCTTGTCCTGGGAGGGCACGGGGGTGAAGGCTGGGGGGTTGGGGGGCTGCTGCTTTCTATTGTCAGCTCTGCCTCAGTTGCCAAACCCAGATACGCCCTCTTCCTCCACCTCCCTCCCCTGTTCCTTTTGCAGATGCAGCCCCACTCCACGGAGCTGCCAGGACCAGACTTACTGACTGTGCGGAAGTCTGGGGTCAGCCGAACTCACTCGCTGCCCAATGACAGCTACATGTGTCGGCACGGGAGCACTGCAGAGGGGTCTCTGGGACACAGGGACTGGGGGCTCCCCAAAGCTCAGTCAGGTATCAGGGCTGGAGCGGCCAATTTTGCTCACACAGGGAGACTCCATCCTGGGGATCTGAGGGGATTGGGGACTGGGGTAGCCAAAGAGGTCTCTCTGACCATAGGGGAGCTTCCAGCCTGGGGGTGGTGGCTTTCAGTCCAGGGGGTAAGGGTAGAGGCCCTGATAAGGGGGAGAGAGTGGAAAGGAGGGCTCAGCTGGGAGCCTGCTCCCCTGAACCGTCCTGCTCCATTCTCCCCCCCACACCCTTCCCCTTCTTCCCTCTCTCCACAGGCTCCATCTTGTCGGTTCACTCCCAGCCAGCAGATACCAGCTACATCCTGCAGCTTCCCAAAGATGCACCTCATCTGCTCCAGCCCCACAGCACCACCACCTGGGGCACCATCCCCAAACTGCCCCCACCGGGACGTTCCCCTTTGGCCCAGAGGCCACTCAGGCGCCAGGTGAGCAGGTGTGGAGAGACAGGCAGAGGCCTGGGGGCTGGAGCCTCTGCTGGGAATCCTAGGCTGCTGGTGATGACCCAGGTTGACACTTTCATTCTTCCAGAAAACATGTATTTAGTGCCAGTGATGTACCAGGCTCAGTTGCAGATACCAGGGACACAGTGCTGGGCAAAGCAGAAGTGGTGTGTGCCTTCTTGAAATTTGCACCCCATTCCTTGTTCCACTGAGGAGGCCTGGAGACCGGAGGCGGTAATGCTTGCCCAGGGTCATGCCTATCTGGTCAGAGGTAGAACCCAGGGTCATGTCTATCTGGTGGAGGTAGAACCCAGGTCTCTGGACTTTGCTTCCTCACCAACCAGAGCTGCCTCCCAATTCTTCTCCACACTTTGAACTGATCTGAGGGGCATAAGGCAAGTTTTAAGTGTCTTCATTTTTGGCCAAGCCTGGGGCCCACCTTCCAGAGCCCACGTTCTAAGGGCACAGAGCTCAGCCACATGTAGCTAGGTGAGGCTTGTCTGCTCCACCGGTGACAAGGCCACAGCCCATGTCCTCTGTGCATCCTGAGGCATGAGTATGGACACATGAGAATCTCAATCCCACATGCTTGGGGTAGCAGGTACAGTCCTTAACCATTTTGCAAATAGTCACTGAGCAGCCTCTGTGTGCCAAGCACTGGGGACATAGTGCCTGCCTCCTGGAGCTCACAGTCTAATAGTGGAGATGTACCTGCCATCAGATCACAGCTCAGGTCACAGCTGCCAGATGCCCATGTGTGGGGGGCAGCAGGGACACAGAAGAGGAAGCGGTAAGTTTTACTTGGGGACGGAGACTGTCACGCTGTGTCACAGAGCACCTGAGTCCGTAAAGTCGAGGGATTCTTGCCAATCAGGAAGGGCATTCAGAACCAAAGGGGAAGCATACGCAGAGGCGGTGGGCATGAAGGAGCCAGCTCAGCGAGCAGAGAGGGCCTGGCTTCTCTCATATCCCTGGAGTCAGGGGCTGCAGAGGGAGCTGTCCGAGCAGGCTTCAGGGAGACCAGGGCTTGGGGGAGGGAAGATGGGTTTTAGCGGTGAGAGGAGGCATGGTGGGCTGCAGAGGTCAGGTTGCAATGACCTGTATCTCCTAGTAAGAGCAGCCACCAGGGCTTCTGCTTAGGGTGGTTGTGCTGTACATGATGGTGGTGGGCAGGAGGCACAGCCAGCTTGACAGAAGGGACAGTCCATGTTGGAGAGGAAAGTGCTGGACTGAGCCCTACCCCACCCCATATAGGCAGCAATAAGGACTGACTCCTTGGATGTTCAGGGCCTGGGCAGCCGGGAAGACCTGCTGGCAGAGGTGAGTGGGCCCTCCCCGCCCCTGGCTCGGGCCTACTCTTTCTGGGGCCAGTCGAGCACCCAGGCACGGCAGCACTCCCTCGGCCGCAGCAAGATCCCGAAGCACATGCCCCCACCAGCCCTTCACCCGGGCCCAGAACCCAGCTGGGACCAGGGCCCTCCGGAGACCAGAAGCAGCTTAGAGTTGGACACGGAGCTGAGCTGGATTTCAGGAGACCTTCTGCCCCCCGGTGGCCAGGAGGAGCCCCCATCCCCACGGGACCTGAAGAAGTGCTACAGCGTGGAGGCCCAGAGCTGCCAGCGCCGGCCTGTGTCCTGGCTGGATGAGCAAAGGAGACACTCCATCGCCGTCAGCTGCCTAGACAGCGGCTCCCAACCCCACCTGGGCACAGACCCCTCTAACCTTGGGGGGCCTGGGAGCCGACCCAAGAAAAAACTTAGCCCGCCCAGTATCTCCATAGACCCCCCTGAGAGCCAGGGCCCTCGGGCCCCACCCAGCCCTGGCATCTGCCTCCGGAGAAGGGCTCCGTCCAGCGACTCCAAGGATCCCTTGGCCTCCGGTCCCCCCGACAGCATGGCTGCCTCGCCCTCCCCAAAGAAAGATGTGCTGAGTCTCTCCGGTTTATCCTCTGACCCAGCGGACCTGGACCCCTGATCCTGTCCCACTCTCCCACTCACCTTTCTCCACTGGGTGCCAAGTCCTAGCTCCTCCTCCTGGGCTATATTCCCGACAAAAGTTCCATATAGACACCAAGGAGGCGGAGGCGCTCCTCCCTGCCTCAGTGGCTCTGGGTACCTGCAAGCAGAACTTCCAAAGAGAGTTAAAAGCAGCAGCCCTGGCAACCCTGGCTCCAGGCAGAAGGAGAGGCCCGGAGCAGCTGAGGTTCCCGACACCAGGAGCTGTTGGGAGAAAGCAATACGTTTGTGCAGAATCTCTATGTATATTCTATTTTATTAAATTAATTGAATCTAGTATATGCGGGATGTACGACATTTTGTGACTGAAGAGACTTGTTTCCTTCTACTTCTATGTGTCTCAGAATATTTTTGAGGCGAAGGCGTCTGTCTCTTGGCTATTTTAACCTAAAATAACAGTCTAGTTATATTCCCTCTTCTTGCAAAGCACAAGCTGGGCCCGAGAGCGCGTGGCAGCCCCGACGGCGGCCCATCTTCAGCGGAGAGCGAGAACCATTTTGGAAACTGTAATGTAACTTATTTTCTCCTTCAACCTCGTCATCATTTTCTGTAGGGAAAAAAAAAGAAAAAGAAAAAATGAGATTTTACAAATGAAATGGAACCTTTTATATATACATACATACATATCTATATCTATATCTATATAAAATAAAGTAATTTTCCTAAATAAAAAGCTAATCACGGTCCAGAGTAAAAGCAAAAGGGATGAGAGCTAGGCATGTCCAGATGGCACTGAAGAGAGAGATCCTGGAGATTGGGAGTGGGCGGCAGGGAGGGAAGGTTCAGGGCTGCCTCTTTGTGTGTGTATGAATGTGTGTGTGTGTGTGTGTGTGTGTGTGAGAGAGAGAGAGAGAGAGAGAGAGAGAGAGAGAGAGAGAGAGAGAGAGAGAACATGAACACCTTGCTCTGGAGGGCTGCAACCTCTAGCCTGCCCTCCCCAGCCTCGAAGGAGAGGAGAAGCCCCCTACCTCTGGGGAGGCAGGGTCTCCTCTGCTGTTGTCGAAGCTTTACTGCTTCCTCTAGCTAGGCAGCTCAGTGAATGGGAGTAATTCCAGATTAACTCTTATTTCTGCTGACAGCTATCAGCCGAACAGTGAAAGCTGGAAATTGGCATAATGAAGCTGTTTGGTTAATGGGGCTGACTGAGGCTGGGGGAGGCTGCCTCAGAGCTGCAGATCTGGAGCTGTGGGGTGGTGGGGGAGGGGGAAGTGTTTCTGGGTTTTCCTTCCTGAAGCTTCAGCATGGATTTGCCACACTTCTGGCTGGATGCATTACCTGAGCTGTCTGGACTTTAGCCTCCTGCCATGGAGGCAGCCTCAGCTGACCGGCATTACAGGCACTGTCTGATGGGGGCCTCGGCCACCTGCCCCCCAGTGGAATTAAGCTGTGTAAACAGAGTGGGCTGCCCCTCCAGAGAAGGAGGGCCAGGGCTGGGCGTCCAGAGGCAAGCTCCTGGTGGAAGTGGTAGGGTCAGAGGCCAGGCTGCTGAGTGGGGAGCTGGCCTCCTGGGTGGTGTTAACACATGCTGCTGCCTGCCCAGGGAGAGCCGGTGGAGGTGTGAAGGTGGCCAGGGGCAGGGAGGCAGGAAGAGGGGGAGTGGCATGGCCCAGGCCACCTGTCTAGTGCTACTGCAGACAATATCCTCTTGTCTGAAATCTTGGTGCCAAGAGGTGGTGAGCATGGGTCCAGCCAGCCTGTCAGCTAGCCACTGCCAGACATCTGTCCCAACCCCACTCCCTTGAACAGTACTATCCCCTTGTCCCCAGGGCCTTCAAACCCCAGGATTGAATTGGGTTCTTGGAATCTCAATGGCAGAACTCGCCCATGCCCTGTCTGATCCAGTCAGCTAGGAGATGGGGGCACCAGGCTGCCGGGCAAGTGGACCTGAAGGCTTGTCCAGCCTTGTGTTTTCTAAGCTGGGTGAGAGCTTCTATTACTGCCCTTTTGGGTACCATACCTTGAAGCCAACACCTGGTTTTATCCTTTTAGGGTGTGCAATAATGTCAAACTTCTTCCTCTGGCCTCCTTGGGTGGGGGAGGGGAGGGGAAGTGCTTATAGGAGCTGCCATTTAAGAAAAAAGGGAAATAAAGCAAAGCTGTACAAAATTCCTAGAGTTCTGTCACCTGGATCTGCAGACTAAGCTTTTATATTTTTGTAGAATTCTGTAGCTGCCTATTCCCTAATGACGTTGGAGGATATGGGGAGAGTGTTCTGGGATCTTTTACTCTTCTAGTGGTTAGAGGATTCTGGGTCAAGGTGAAGCCAGAGAGCTGGAATCCTACCCCTCCCCACCCTTCCAGCACCCCCCACCACCCGCCATCACTCAGACAGCCCAGCAGTACTGTAGTGCTGGAGAGTTGCTTAGGATGAGTTTCAGCATTCCTGGTTCTCTCTGGGTTCCCCTTCCCCTGGCCTCCTCTTCCCAGCAGGGACCAAGGAATTTGGGGTGCACTTACTATGCTTTTGGGTTGCTCTCTAGAGATCTGTAGGGACCAGCCTGGTGAAAACAAAAAGGCGCCCCTACTCCCTCCCCAGCAGCCCCCTCTGTGGCCTGGAGGAGGGGGTTCTCTGGGTAGTGCTGTGGAAATATTAATAGCAGAGTCAAAGTGGGTATTTTGGGGGAGAGAACTGTGACCTCTCCCCCCAGCAACGTAAAATCTTGTATCAACGATGGAAACTGTTGTGTTTCATTAAAAGGGATTTGAGGTGGAAAACCAGCTGCCGCTGGATCTTAATAGTAATATCAAGACTGCTAACCTCATGCTGCTTGTCTGGGTGTTTATTTGATGCTGCTCCAGGATATGTAGGGGGTGGGGGTAGGGGTGGAGAAACTGAAGGAGGCTGGAGGCGGAGTGGCTGATGGGGGCAGCAGGTCTTGGACGAGGGCTCCAGAGGAGGAATGGAACTGGCTAGGGGCTTCAGGGATGGGGGGCTTTTTGAAGGAGGGACATCCACCCTGGCGCCTTTGTCCTCAGCCTTCCCCTTCCGGGTTCAGAAGAAATTGTGTCAGCGGCTGCAGGCCCCCACCTCAAGCTTGGCTGCTTCTGCTTCCTCCACCCCCAAGACTCCAGGAAAAGGTCTGTCTGGGGGTGGGGGACTGGGAAGAGGAGTGAGCTGAGCTGGGGCTAAAAACAAATCTGAGGCTCATATGCAGTCTATCACTCCTCAAAACACCCAACAAGGGAAGTCTGATTGCTGTCATTTCTCCACTAGGCAGTGGGGTTCAGAGAGCCGACCTCCAGCCCACACTACTCCTGTCTTCTCGGTGTGGAGGAAATGGGGCATGATGGGAAGACTCCTGCTCAAAAAATGACTTGCTGGGGGCCCTTTTCCAAAGTAGTCACATTCATGTTCATACAAACGTGCACACGTGTTCCCCAAAGGCCAAACTCAGAGGCTTAGAGAGGCCCCCAGCCTCCCACCTGGCCAGCCACCAGCCTTTGGCCGCAGGGAATGGTGGCGAGAGAGGTTCAGTCCCAGGAGAAGGCATCCCTCAGCTCCAGGCATTTGTCCAAGAGCCGGCCAAGCGTAGCTCTGCAATCACTCCAGGTTCCCGGGCACCCTGCATAATGCTGCCCTTGAACCCCATGGGACCTGTTCTCCCAGCTCTCCTGCCCTCTTCTCTTGTCCCCTCCTCTAACCCTGCCCTACCCAAACCTCACCCACTTTCCAAACAGCTTTCACTTCCACCTTCACCCTTAGTCCCCACCTGCCACAGCCTGGTGCCCCATGGCCTAGTTTCTCCTCCCTTCTCCTCCCTCCGTCCAGTTGAGATGTCTGGGGGGGTGGGGCGTGAGCTGGCAGCAGCAGTGCAATGAGGGCATCAGACACCAGGTGGCAGCACAAGGCACCCTCACCTGGTGCCACCTGGTGCCCTCCTGCAGAGGGACCAAGCCAGGGAGAGGGCACCAGCACTGATGGCCACCTAGGGAACAGGTGCTTTGCATAACCCCGGAAGGAGGAAGCAGGCTCCCAGGGCCCGTTGAAGGACTTTGTTCGGCGAGAAGCCCAGACAGGAATCCCTGCCATCTGAGTGCTGAGCCCACGGCGTTCAATGGCCCCTGCCTAAAGCTAGGAAAGACTCAGGGCTAATCCAGGACAGTGGTGCCAGGAGGGAAATGAACTCTCAAAGAAAGTTGAGTTGTGTTCTGGAGCCCTACTCTAGGGCACAGCAAGTCAGGTCAAGGAGGAACTGCTCCAGCTAAGCCCCAAGAGGGAATTCTGCTAAAAACTTTGAAACTGCATGTCTTAGCCCTGGTTCCAGGTGTGGGAACTGCTGACTGTGGCCCACAGAGCTAATTAATTCTTCTTGCTTTGAAAACTCCAGAATCGGGCACAGCAGCCAGCACTCTCCCCTGAATGCCAAATCAGATCAAGTGCAGGCTGGTGGCAGAGGGGCAGCCTCACTGAGGGCCATGAGTGGGGCCAGTGGGGCCACCACCAGGCTGGGGTCTGGAGGAAGCAGGTCCCACTTCAGGGAAGAGGACAATGGGGACGCTGGGGCATGGGAGCTGCAGCCCGGTTTGGGGGTGCTCCAGGCCTCCAAGGAGCCACAAGGGGCTGAAAGGAATCAGGCAGTGGAGGGGAAGCTTTGCTGTTCCATACCCTGCCCCTCTGCCTTGTCAGTTCTCCAATCTGCCTCCCTGCCACCATCGCCTTCGAAGCATTTCCTGTGCCTGGGTCTCCCTCCCCTCCCCGCACTGGTTCTGCTTTCTTCTCTCTGCTGTCATGCCTGCTCTGAGCTGTACCTTGCAATTATTTTATCTTTCCATCTCTTTGCCAGGAAATCCCTGATGCCGGGTTCCCCTGGGACACTCACTGTGGGGGAGGCAACGCACATGCTCCATCCGTCCTTCCTGGAGCAGCCTTCAGCTGGGGAGGGAGGATGGGGCTTGGGCAACAAAGGCTGGGGGAGGTTTGGTCATTTTTCTTCTGCAGCCCAACTCACAAGGTCATTACTGCTTCTCTTGGGAGCCCCCCAGCAGTAACCATCTTGGTTCTGAATACTCAAAAACAGAGTGGGCACTGCCCACTCTTAGGGCTGTACCTAATGCCACAGTGGCCTTGGTACTATGACTTCTTAGGAAATGGGTGTTTGGTTAATCAGTCAACAGCACATCCTGAGGACCAGCTTCTCCAAGCCCTGTCCTGGGTGCTGAGGATACAGTGATAAACCTCAGTCCCTATCCTCAAGGTGTCCACGGTCCTCTTGGGGTAGGTAAGCATGACAATCAGTGATTACAAGAAGGGAAAGTAATCTCCTTGCCCAGGACTGGGTTGGGGAGGTCCAAGGAAGCCTTTGAAGGGGAGAGGGGCTTGAGCAGATTCTTGAAGTTTGCCACGTGCAGAAAGGGAGGTAGGGCGTAGGTCAGAGAGTGCTCCAAGCAGTCTTAAAGACAGATACAGGAAATGTATCCCGCTCAAGGAGACTTTGCAGAAACCACCTCCTCGGCAGGCGTGGGGCGCCTCCTGCTTATGCTAGGATAAGCTCTGAGGCCCTGGGCAGGCTATAGGGTGTCTCAGGGTCTCAGATTTCTTGCTCTGGTGAGAACCCGAACAATAACATCTTACGAATATTGTGGTTATTATTCAAGGACTCTGTGAAAGGGGACACACTGCCTGAGTGGCCAGGAGGGGTGAAGCCTCAATGCCTCAAGAGAGATAAGGGAAGGTGAGGCTTACCAAGGGCTCCCGCCATGTCCTCAGAGTCCCCAGCCCAGTGCTGCTGTCTTGGGAAGGCCATGGCAATAGAAAAGCCTGGGGCTACAAGGGATGGTGCTTCAGCTCTAATGCTGAAGCCAGAACCCAAGGGTCCTGGCCCAAAACTAGAGCTCCAGCCAGTGGACTGCCTAGCCAACCGTGGGGGTGGAGAGTCCCAGGTGGGGGACTCTAGTCTAGTTCTGGGCTCTCCATCTCAGGAAGGGGGTCTGATTGGGGAGCTCACCCCCCAAAGGGCCCTAAAGGAAATTCCCCAGGTCTCCCCAAGCCCAGGTCTGGTGCCTATGACCCCAAAGCCCTAAAGAAGGAATGGGGGAGGAGGGAGAGTTGGAGGAAGCTGGTGGGTAGACCAAGGTCAAAACACAGGGGTGGTGGGTGCTGATGAAGCCATGACCAGGGTCAGGGAAGGGATGGAGGAAGATTCCCAGCTGCCCAGGCCATAGAAGCCTGGTCTACCAGGGCTGGAGGAGAGCTTAGATAACACCTTGTCCACATTTTTGAAGAAATGAAGTCCCAGAGACATCAAGGAGCTTGTTGGGGTCACACAGTATACAAAAGGTATGGAGGGGATTAGAGGTGTCTGCCCTTGGGAACCTCTCAGATTAGCAGGGAAGATAGACTCTTGATAACTAAACATAACCCAAGGCATACTGTACAGCTCTGTAAAGTCTTTTGCCCAGAGATGGAGGTGGGGGGGGGGGGGGGCAGGAATGGGAGGATGTGTGTGGATGAGTGGAAGGGAAGGGGGCAGATAAGAGAATATTCGCCCAGTGGAGGGGTAGAAGTCCCCAGTCTGACTGCCTGGGAAGCGGGAGTCTTATCCACCCCACTCCCACCCCCATCCCATGCCCAGCCAGATCTCGGTTCTGATAGCCCATAGCTGAGGAGACTTCCCTTCTCTTGACCTCCTGCCTGCCCAGAGAGACAGAAGGTGGCTTGCCACTTCTGCACTCTTACTGACTCCTGCCCACACCTGATGCTGAGCAGCCAAGTAAGGAAACACCTCTTGAGAACAAGAGCCAGAAGAGTCACAAGGGTGAAACTGAACAGACCGGTGGGCAAAGGCGGGGAAGAGAAGAGCCAGGGAAAGATCTGCCCAGGAGATTTCCTTCTGAGCCACAGCAAGGAGTGCTGAGTTGGCTTCTGGGATTGTGTTAAGGAAGACAGAGCAACCAGGGGATTGAGAGATGGAGGGATTCCCCACATGGCCCACCTGGGGCAAGCAGGAGGAGACCACTGACAAGCCCATTTTACAGACTGGGAATGTAGAGTTTCAGCCACAGGAGGAGGACCAGGACACTCACATGCTCCTTCCCCTACCCTGATCAGGCTGAAGCAGAGGGCAGTCACACATGTTGGGTGCCCACTAAGTGTGTCAGGCAATATGCTTTGAACAATTTCTCCATTCAATCCTCAGAGAACCCTGGGAGGAAGATTCTTCTATGATTTGTCCCTATTTTGCAGATGTGAAAGTGGAGGCCCAGAGAGATGCCGAAGTGAAGTGGCAAGGCCAGGGAGCCACAGAGCCTTGGGGTAGCAGCTTAAGAGAACGCAGGAAGTCCCTCCCATGATGCTGCGGCCCCCACCCACACCACGAGTACACACCCGGGCAGCACACTGAGGTTCCCAGTGTGTGGCCCTGCCAGTGGTCTCGACCTGGTGAGGAAGGGGTCACCTTCCCGATGGGGCACAGAAGCCCTTCCCATTTTACAGATGAGAAAACTGACCTCCGGAGATGAACGTGACCTTCTCCAAGATTACTTTTTTACTAGGAAAAGTGAATCTTGGAAAAGGAATCTTGTTGAATCCCCCTCCCTATCTCCCGGACTCCATGACTCATCAGGCCCCACCGAGTTGTTCGGGGGTGGGAGTGCCTGGGTATCCCAGTTCCACCCTGGAAATAGACTCTGCTCTGGGCCTGTCCGCCTCTGGATTTAGGGGGTACATTTCCCTGCATGGTCCGGGGGCCGCTCGCAGGGGCTGCCGCCGGGTCAAGAGCCCCCCACCTCTGCCCCAAAGTCCCTCCCAGGGAGACGCTGCCGCAACCCGCGGCACGCGGCCGGGTAGGGGGAGCCGGGAGCCCCAGGCCTTGGGGTTGGGCTCTGCGGGGCGGGCCCGGGCGGAGCGCCGGGTGTGGAGGGCGGAGGCCGATCGGCGCCCGCTCTGCTGGCAGCTGGGTCGGACCGCTCTCGCCTTTCTCGCCGCCGCGCCTTGGCCCCATGGACGCCCTGTGCGGCTCCGGGAAGTTCGGCTCCAAGTTCTGGGTAAGGCGCCGGCTCCGGGGTCACTGCGCAGGGGCCGGGGTCGGCGGGCTTCGCCCGGTTCCCGCTACCTGCCTTCCCGCGGGGCCGGCAGGTGTCCCGAAACGGAGCCCCCGAGACGGCCTGAGGGCCCGGGAAGGGGCGATGGGGCGCGGAAGGGAGGCTGGCGGCGCCACCCGGAGCCGGGTCCCACGCGGGGTCCCGGACCTGCCCGGCTCCGGCCTTCCCAGCTGCGGCACTGAGGAGCCCGGGAGAGCGAGGCATGGTGCGTGGGGCGGTGAGTTGGCCCCATCCTAGCCCCTCTGTCCGGGGCGGAAGGGGCGTTTCGCAGTCGGCCGCGTTCGTGATGGAGGGTCCTCCCTCAGCATCTACCGCTGACTAGGACTCGGTTGCCCACCTGGGCAGGGATTGCCTCCAGGGCATCCAGAGCACCTGCTCAACCGGGTGCTTTAGGAGGCTAGCTGTGCAGTGTCCCACCCTTCTTGGGAAGGTTTCCTGCTGCCTTCTTTTCTCTGGGTAAGGCTGGGAGAAGCAGACCCCAGCCTGGAGACAGGTACAGGGTGTCAGGATTCCTGTAGTCCAACTCTCTTTGTTTACAGATGGAGAAAGGGAGGCCCAGAGAGAGGAGGGAACTTGCCCAAAGTTACTAAATTCAATGAAGGCAGAGCTGGGATAGAAAAGCGGGCTATAGGCCAAGTGCAGTGGTTTATGCCTGTAATCCACCTATTGGGAGGCAAAGGTGGGAGGATCACTTAAGCCCAGGAGTTTTGGATTACGGTGAGCTATGATCACACCGCTGCACTGTGGCCTGGGCGAAAGAGTGTCTCTAAAATAAATAAATAAATAAAATAAATGGCCAGGTGCGATGGCTGAGGCCTGTAATCCCAGCACTTTGGGAAGTTGAGGTGGGAGGATCACCTGAGGTTCAAGACCAGCCTGGTCAACATGGTGAAACCCGTCTCCACTAAAAATACAAAAATTGGGGGGGGGGGGGCACAGTGGCGTGAGTCTGTAATCCCAGCTACTCAGGAGGCTGAGGCAGGAGAATCGCTTGAACCCGGGAGGCGGAGTTTGTGGGGAGCCGAGATCACCCCATGGCACTCCAGCCTGGGTGACAGAGCGAGGCTCTGTCTCAAAAAAAATAAAGATAAATAAATAAGCAAGGCCGGGCACGGTGGCTCACGCCTGTAATCCCAGCACTTTGGGAGGCCAAGGCAGGTGGATCACAAGGTCAAGAGATCGAGACCATTCTGGTCAACATGGTGAAACCCCATCTCTACTAAAAATACAAAAAATTAGCTGGGCATGGTGGTGAGTGCCTATAATCCCAGCTACTCAGGAGGCTGAGGCAGGAGAATTGCCTGAACCCAGGAGGCGGAGGTTGCGGTGAGCTGAGATAGCGCCATTGCATTCCACCCTGGGTAACAAGAGCGAAACTCCGACTCAATAAAAATAAAGAAAGAAAGAAAGAAAGAAAGAAAGAAAATTAGGCCTTTTGTGACTCTCACCCCAAATCCCTCTCTAAGACAGGCTGCTCTTCAACCTGCTGACTCCAGCCTCCAGCACAGTTCAAGTGAGCTGAGTGCATACAACCCAAGAGCTTTCTTACTGACTTATAAAACCCAGTTGGCTCTATGAGAGGCAGCTCAGATTAAAGAGCTCAGATTGTAGAGGGAGCTCAGATTAAAGGGGCTTCTCTGTAGTCATCCAAGGGGTACCCACAGCTTCTGAATCCCAGTCTCTAAGTCTTTTTCTTATTTTGAGTATTTGTTCATATACGCCGTGTGTGTGTATGTGTGTGTGTGTACGTACACATACACAGGCACGTGTGGTGTTACCCATGAGTGTGTGCTGTGCACACATGTGCATAGGTGTGTACATCTGGAGCCAGAAGAGAATATGAAAGATGTTTAGAGATTGGGGTGGGAAGGAGTGTGATCAGTTTCCTGTCATTTAAGGTATCCAAGCAGAGTTCCCACAAGGACTTCAAAACGTAAATGAGCTGATTCCCACGGAGCCTGAGTCCTCAGAGGAGGTTTAC